AAAAAAAAAAAAAGGTACTCATAAGAGGAAAAAAGACAACTATTCTCACCCTAAGGCTAGAATGACTCAGAGAAGTCTTTCTAATCCAATGTACTTCCCCACATGGTAAGCTCATGGAAGCCTCGTGCTGCAGACCTGCATCAGTCAGAGCAGCTGTGCTAGCCAGGACTAGTGTATCTTACTTTATCATAAACCTCTTCCTTTTTTTTTTTTTTTTTTTTTTTTTTTTTTTTTTTTTTTTTTTAAACAGGGTGTTGCTATGCAGTTCAGGCTGGCTTTGAGCTCACTATGTAACCCTGGCTGGTCTCAAACTTGCAATGATCCTCCTGCCTCAGCCTCCCAAGTGCTGGGATTACAGGCGTGCGCCACCATGCCTGGCTCTCCTTTTTTTTTTTATAAGAGAGGAAAGGCAATAAAGTCACCATAGCATGCCTGTAGTCCCAGATACTCTAAGGCATAAGGATCACTTGGATCTGGGAATTCAGGGCTGGCGTGGGCAACATGGCTGGACCCTAGTCTCAAGTCAAATCTCTCACCTATAAAGTTTTTGTTTCAGTGGAAGTTTTTCTCAAACCATTTCCAGGCCAGCGAAATAGCTCAGTGGACTAAGTGCCTGCTTAGGCTAGCACAGGGACCAGGGTTCAATCCCAGGCACCACTTGCCATGCTGGCCCCACCCCCAGAACATAGTGAGCCAGCGACCAAGTCCAGGTGTGGTGGCACATGCCAGTAATCCCAGTGCTGGGGAGGCTGAAAACAGGAGGATCACTGTGAATCAGAGTGGCATAGTGAGGCCCTGTGCCAAATACATTTTTTTAAAAACCAAAAAAAAAGATACTTAATAATGGATAATTGAATTGGAGTGAAATGAATCTGACAGTTACCCTTCTCCCTTGCTCCTGCACCAGGCCTACCTCCTCATCGAGGAGGATATCCGGGACCTTGCTGCCAGTGATGACTACAGGTAAACCATTGGATCTCCTGGCCTCAGAGTAGTCCCTGGGGTGAGGCTGGGTCTATATCCTGGCCTTGCTTTACCTTCCTCTTGGTATCTACTCTAGAGGATGCCTGGACCTGAAATTAGATGAGCTGAAATCCTTTGTCCTACCCTCCTGGATGGTCGAGAAGATGCGCAAGTACATGGAGACACTGAGGACAGAGAACGAGCACCGTGCTGGGGAAGCACCTGCGCAGACCTGAGCCCCATCATGGCTGCAGTGGGCAGCTGCCTCCGAGAGCCCTTCCCCCACGTGCTCCTAGCCGGATTGCTGCAGAGTTAACCTGCATGGGCTAGTCTGTAAGGACTCACTGCTGAGCACCCCAGACTGGCATGTGGGTCTGTATTTGTACAGTTATTAGGATAAGCAATTAAACTATTTGTAATAAACACAAGTGGTAAGCCTGCGGTGCCATCTATGTGCAGGAGGCTGATAAAATATCAAGGGCTATAGAAACCAGTGTAGAAAATAAGATCAGATGTTTCTTCCCCATCTCAGACCCAGGCTTTGGGAGACCTAGCTGCAAGACCCGCCTTACCAACCTTTTGGTTTTTGGTGTGTTGTTTTGGTTAGTTTTTGGTATTTTGTTTCTGTTGGGGTTTGGTTGGTTGGTTTTGGTTTTTTGAGACAAGGTCTCATATAGTTCAGGCTGGCCTTAAACTCATAGTAATCCTCCTGCCTCAGCCTCACAATTGCTGGGATTACAGGTGTGTGCCACCACACCCAGCTTGCCAACCTTCCCTGTCCGTTTTCTCTTTTTTTTTTTATATACATCATGGGGGGTGGGCAGGAGGTACCAGGGATTGAAGTCAGGACCTTGCACTTGCCAGGCAAGCAGTTATTCCACTGCTATCTCCCTAACCCCTTGTCCCTCTGTTTTTGAGGGGGGGTATTGTTTTTTGTTTGCCCCCCTACCAGTGCAAGAATGGGCAGGATGATGGCTAGACCCATGGAGGTTTGGTAACAGACCATATAAAAAATGCAGTTGGCTTTTATTATCATTTTATAGGGTAAAATATCCACCAGCTCAAAACAGTTAACCAGTCAGAGAAGAGGCATGATCTGAACCTTTTTTGGGGGGGAGGGGGACAGAAACCGGGGATTGAACTCAGGACCCTACGCTTGCCAGGCAAGCGCTTATTCCACTGAGCTATCTACCGGGGCCCACATTTTTGTTTTGTTTTGTTTTTCCTGAACCGGTCCCAAATTTTGAGGAGTTTTTGTGGGGGGTTTTATTTTGTTTTGTGTTTGTTTGTTTGTTTGTTTGTTTTTGGCCACTTCTGCCTTAAGGGCAGGGCAGGTACAGCTTCTGGAGCTGGGAATAGAACCACGGTTCTCTGCGCCTGCCTGCATTTACCCAAGCAGAGCTTTTAAACAACTTGAGCTATCCGTCAAACTGAACCTACGTTTTCCAATAGGCTGCTGCCCTGGCCTTTAGCCTCTCTGCTTCTCTGGTTATAGCCCTCACATCCCCGGATTTCCAGGCGCTGGGGATCCCTCGTGTAATACGGGGTAGGGACTTTGGTTCAGGGGAAGGTTGGAGGATATCCCCATTCAAGAAAAAAAAAATCAAGGTCTTGCATACGGGGCGTTGGGCGGACGACGCAGGCGTTGGGCTAAAGTATCCCACGTGGCCGTTTTCCTGGCCCTTTAATGGTCGGCGTTTTCCAAAGGCCACCAATCCGCTACAGGTTCGTTAGTTAGTGTCAGCCTCTTCTGCCAATCGGCTGTTAGGAACCAACCCTCTCCCCGGGTCGCCCAATAGTGGCGTCCTGATGGTTGGTTTAGCAGTTGTGCGGTGACGAGGCACTGTGGCGCGCCGCATTGGCTGGATTAAACCCGAGCGAGCCGCTGATTGGCCGAAGCTGCTGGCGAGTTACAATTCAAACGCGGGCGGGCGGCTTCCTGCCCTGCGCTTTTGGTGCTGTTCTCCGAGTTCGCGTCTCAGCGGGCCCAGTCCTCATGGCCTCCCAAAACCGCGACCCCGCCGCCCCTAGCGTTACTGCCGCCCGCAAAGGAGCCGAGCCCAGCGGTGGCGCGGCCCGGGGCCCTGTGGGCAAGAGGTAAGTGGTGGAGAGCTAACACTGGCTTGGCCTGGCATCCCCCGAGCCTGGGGACCCACGACGAAGACTTCTGGGACCCTTGTGTAGTGGAGCTGCTCAGATTTGGAAGACGGGGCGGGGAAGGCTGAAGCCAGAAGCTCAGGCTACTCTGAGACTCCTATAGGAAGACTGCTGTCAGGATCCTCCCAGAAGACGCCCGAGTAGCACCGGGAGTTAAGAACTGCCGTAGAGCAGGGGTCAGGAATTAGGGGGGTTAAACTCCTGTGGAGACGAGCATGAGCGTGCCCCAAGCTGAGTCTGACCTCAGAGATGGGGAAAGCCTCCATGACAGCTCCGCAAGAGAGTCAAGTGGGAACAGATCCGCCGGCTGGAGAGCTCCGGCCTGTCCAGATTCCCAGGTAACCCTGAATTCTTTTTGCAGGTTACAGCAGGAGCTGATGACCCTCATGGTGAGTGACTAAGTGCTCTCAGATCCCCAGCCACCCGGTCCACCCTCCCAAATATCAGTAGCCACCTTTCCTACCTCCATCCACCTCTACTTAGATAGATAGATAGAGGTCAGTATCATTTACTGTCTTCTGAGAGGTCTCATACTCTCACCCACACCTTTACTTATAGCGGGCTCAATCCCAGTTCTATTCCCCACAGTGAAGTTATCTCTAAGACCAGTTCTTTGACCTTACAGAAGGCCTTCCCTGACCTGCTTGTCCTTACTTTCTGGACTCACGCTGTTTCAAGAATTGAATATTTTAATTCCTGGCAAGAAGATTGTGGATGCACAGCTGCCTTGTGCTTCCCTGTACAAGTCCCTCCTTCCTTAGCCTGCTAAGCTAATGAATCTGTCAGTTGGGGCTGCTTGTTCATGGGATAAAAATATGATGAAATCAGAGGCAGGGATCACCCACTGAGCCCTTACCACGCCTTAAAATATACTCAGCAATCCAGCAAGTATTGTTTCCTCCCCAGATGTCTGGTGACAAAGGAATTTCTGCCTTTCCGGAGTCAGACAACCTTTTCAAATGGGTAGGGACCATCCATGGAGCAGCTGGCACAGTAAGTATAGGGTCAAGGAGGAGATGGGAGGTGAGATCCAGGTATCAGTGCTGCTTCAGTCAGTCAGCTGCCCAAGACAATCCGTGTGCCTCTTCACATGCTCTGAGCCTTGTGGTTTTGTTCACTCCTGTGTGATAACAAGGTTTAAAACCCTGTCCAGCTAATTGCCTATAATCCCAACACTCTTGGAGGTTGAGGCAGGAAGATCACAGGCTGTTCAATCCCAGCCTAGACAACCTGGCAAGACATCTCAAAAGGGAGTGGGGAAGGTGGGGGAAGGGCTTGCCTCATTGCAAAAGCCCTAGTTTCAGTCCCTAGTACCTCACAGCCAGGTGTGGTGGCACATGCCTGTAATCCTAGCACTTTGGAGGCTAAAGCAGGAACTGCTACAAGTTCTAAGCCAACCTGGACTACATAGCAGGATACTGCCTCAAACCAAAAACCAATCCCTATTACCTGTCAAAATAAACCCTAAGGGGCCAGGCTTCCAAGTTTGTGTCTGTGCCAGTGCTGTCCTCATGGCCTCCCAAAACCGCGACCCCATGGAAGGCCCGTCATGCTGGGAGGGCCTGTTGCTCTAGGTCTGGTTTAAAGTAAATCAGAAATCAGACCTGGCTGAGTGTGGTGATACATGCTTCTAATCCCAGCACTTAGTAGGCTAAAGCAGAGAGATCATCACGAGTTCAAGGCCAACCTGAACTACACAGCAAAACACTTTTGAAAAATATCTAAATCTGTGTCAGATCTATTTTTTTCACATTTGTAAATAAAATACTAGTTAGGCCAGGCCTAGTGGCACATGCCTGTAATTCCAGCATTCAGGGAAGCTGAGATAGGAGAATCACTGCCAGTTCAAGGCCAGCTTGGGCTACGTAGTAAGTTCAAAGACATCCTGAACTACCCTGTGTCAAAAAAACAAAAATAAATAAGTAGGCCTAAAACACAGCTGTGGTAGTCCTCAAGATACCAACTTAAAACCCTTATTTGATGTCCCCATCAAATAAGAGGAAAGCACCAGAATTAGCTCAATGTTTTGTCCACTGTCCTTTCTCATGTTAAAAAAAAAAAAAATGACCGGTCAGATAGCTCAGCAGACTAAAGCGCCTGCTTAGGCAGAACACAGGGACCCGGGTTCCACCCTCAGCCAGCCCCACCCCTGGGGCGCAATGAGATGATTGAGACAAGGCATGGTGGCACATTTGTGTAATCTCACGTTTGGGAGGCTGAAAACAGGAGAATCACTACAAGTCCGATCTATGTAGTGAGACCCTGTAGATCCTGGGTCGGGATAGGAACCTCACATGGGGAAACTTACCCCCTTCCTCTCTTCACATGGCAGGTATATGAAGACCTGAGGTATAAGCTCTCCTTGGAGTTCCCCAGTGGCTACCCTTACAACGCTCCCACAGTGAAGTTCCTCACTCCCTGCTACCACCCCAATGTGGACACCCAGGGTAACATCTGCCTGGACATCCTCAAGGACAAGTGGTCAGCCTTGTATGACGTCAGGACCATCCTACTATCCATCCAGAGCCTGCTAGGAGGTGATGTCTGAGAACACACTCTCCCTACAACTGGGAACAGGTGGGACTCTCCTGGCCAGCTTCTTCTGCCATTTTACCATTTGTTTCTCCACCCACAGAACCCAACATCGATAGTCCTTTGAACACACATGCTGCGGAGCTCTGGAAAAATCCCACAGGTGGGTCCTTCTCCGCACAGGGTCCTTGCCAGCCTTCACAGGTGCCCTCAACCAAGGGAATCCTGGTGACTTGGGACTTGGAGCTGAGGAAAGAGGGTGGTCAGCTCACTCTGCCTCTACTTTGGGGCTCTTGTGTGCTATGAACAGTGGAACCCCTTCATATTCGTACATGGGTTCAGGCAACTATTGGTAGACTGCATTACTCAGCAAGCGGGCTGCAGCTCCCTCAGGCTGGGCAGCACAGGTTGGGCTGAGAGAAGACAGTTCCTCCCCTCCCCTTACGCTGTCCTCTCCTCTTGCCCACCTTCACTTCTGGCTCTTATTGCTCAGCCAACACTTGCCTGTTCTCTTTCAGCTTTTAAGAAGTACCTGCAAGAAACTTATTCAAAGCAAGTGTCTAGCCAAGAGCCCTGACCTCAGCTGACCAGCCTTTTCTCGTGTCTTTACTTCTTTAGTCTGTCCTATCCTTGATTTCTGTGTAAGACACTGTGTCTTGAGCTGTGGTGTTTTTGTTTTGTTTGTTTTTTAAATTAAGTCTCTGGTTGAGCCTTTACAATGTATATTATTAAATAAAAACATTGTGATTGTTTTAGCACACGCTTCTGGCTTGCAGTTAACCCTTGGACCGGCAGTAGGGGTTGGCTTGACATCTGGCTCTTGCCTCTTCTCTGTAGTGGTGAAACAGAGAGGCTGTGGGGCCAAGCAGTGGGGTCACTAGGATGTGCTCCTGTTTTGATATCAGTTTTTTCTCATTCATCCATCTATGCAATGGGTACCCGCTGGCGATGTGGCTCTGCAGCAGAGTCCCTGTGTTCAGTCCCCAGCAGCAGTGCTACAAAGCTTGCTTCTACATGCAGGAATTTTAGTGAATGCTGGAGTAGCCCCAGCTGTGTTACAAATGAGACCAAACGGCACAAGACCTTGAAGAGTATCTAGGAGGGAGTGGAGGGTCAGTCACCCACTCTGTGACAGATGTTAGGGCCCTGAAAAAGAATCATGTTTCCCTACAGCAGACCCAGAATGTGGGGAGACAGCCAGAGAAAATCCCTCCCCTGTCAGAACCCTCAGGACTGAGCTCCAGACCTGCTTCTGATACTAGGTCCCCCATGGATGGCTCCACACCCCAAGGGGGCACATTCACTTCCTTTTCCATCTCTAACTGCAGTTTTGCCAGTTGCTGCACCCACTGACCCAGTTCTCCTGCCCCTTGGGCGGCTTTTGTGCTGGCCAGCCGCAGACTCCAGCCTTTGAGGCCCTGAGAGGACACTCCTGTGGAGACCAGCTGAGTCCCCGCTGCTGCAGCAGGCACTGGGAAGAGCTGGCTGAGACGATGGGCCCGGCCCAGGTCTTGCAGGAAGATGTCCAGGGTGGATACAAACAGCACCCAAATGCGCTCCAACTCTGCCCGGGTCTCTGCCTTGACACCCAGCTGGGTCAGCTCTGCCAGCAGCTGGTCATGCAGACCTAGAGAAGAGAGAGGAAAAGCAGGAAGATCTGTGAGGAAAGGCCCATCATGGCCGCCTTTACTCCTGCTGGTGTAGGTCTCTCCTTTACCTTGTCCCCATTCAAGCAACCACATGTAAAAATAATCATTATTAGGGCTGGCATTGGAAATTGGGGGTCCTCCTGCCTAAAATTACCCTTTTAATTTTCTTTCTGTCTTGAACAAAGATCTTGTGCCCAATCTAAGGGTGAGAGAAAGAGGTTTAGCCAGGTGTGAAGGTGTATGCTTGTAATCCCAGCACTAGGAGGATCATTAAGTTCCAGCCCAGTATGAGCAATTTAGTGACTGAGACCTGAGTCAGTCACAAAATAAAGTATAACAAAGGATTGAGGGTGCAGCTCTGTTTGAAGGCCCTGGGTTTAACCCCTTTTACTGCCCCAAAAAGGGCAGATTTGCCTTTCTGATCAGCTCCTAGGTGACATGTACTGTTGTGATCTAGTTAAGAAACAAGGGGTGAAGGCAGACATGGTGGTGCACATCTGTAATCCCAGCACTCAGGAGGCTAAGGCAGGAGGATTGCTGCAAGTTCAAGACCAGCCTGGGCTACAAAACGAGCTCAAGTCCAGCCTGAACCACATAGCAAGACCCTGTCTCTTAACTGGACCTGGTAGCACATGTCTGTAATCCCAGATCTTGGGATACTCAAAACAGGACAATCATGAGTCTGATCTGTGCCGTGAGACCCTGTACTAAATACATTAAAAAAAGAAAAAGAAAGAAAGAAAAGAAAGTGAAGCCAGGCAAGGTGTACCAGCCCTCATAATTTATCCTGTCTCAAAAAAAAAAAAAAAAAAAAAAAAAAAAAAAAATTGTATGGGCCTTCCTGCAGTGAAATTATCACCTGGACCACATTAGAAAAGAGCAAATCTTTGGCCCAAACCTGCTCCCTGGGTTCTGATGCTCTCTCAAATTTGAAAGTCACCAGGTGAGAGGATGCCTGAGAAAAGCAGAGCTCAGAACATGGTGGTACTGGTCACTCAAGAAATGCAAATTAAGGCCCCAGGAGATAGCTCAGTAGAATAAGCGCTTGCCTGGCAAGTGCAGTGTCCTGAGTTCAGTCCCCAGTACTGCAAAAAAAAAAAAAAAAA